TCAACTTAAAGATTATATACACAACTTTAAAAAAATGATACTTGACTCAATGAAGCGCAGATGAACTCAAGATACTCAAATCAAAATATTTAACTTTTGATACTTAATTGAACTCATTTCGATATAAAACAATTTATAACAAGCGCAATATAAAGAAAAGCTGTTTAAAAACATGATGTTAACTCAAGATAATAATATCATAAAATACATATCATGCTCCCTCTCAAAGTCTACTTGTGCAATGAATGAATGAACTCCCACGCCCCCATTCATACTAAGTAGAACCCTTGAGGAACCATGTAACTAAAATAGAAGTTTCTCTAACCGAAAATCACCGCTATGCGCCTAAGTGGTTATACAACGTCTTTCCCAAGCTGTCAGAACTGTCCTATACTTTGCCGTCGCTTAGAACATCCATAAACATGAGAACATGCAACTTGAATCCATAATTCAATTCAAGGAAAGTTAAGATCAACGTCAAGGAAGTTAAGAAGTCAAGTCTAAAGCTAAGAAGTAAGTTAAAGTAGAAGTTTTCAAGAGCCTTATTTAGACATTTTAACTTTATTTTAAGACTCAATTTTCAAGTTAAGAGTAAAAGTTGAGTTCATTTCTCAAAGGATATAAGGGAACTAAGTATTCCTTATAAAGTTTATAAATGTTTTTACACTTAAGTGAAGAGGAAACTAAGATTTCCCAAAAGAGTTTGAACAAGAAAAGGAACAGTGATTCCGAAAAGAACTTTTAAAGATAAGTGTTGAGCAAATATCTCAACCTAAAGAAAGAAAATAATTTAAAGCATGAGCTAAAGTATGTTTTGGGTGTAGTATTGAGCACCAATGTGGGAATAATAGTTCATATTAACTCAAGTGCCCATGTAAACCATGTAGTCATCATGGGTGTTAACGGGTCATCATGGGTGTTAACAGGTCATACTTTTTAGATGATCACGTAAGTTAAGCTAGTGGATTTACTAAGTTAAGGAGTTCTATGCGACGACAAAGTATAAAACAATTCTAGCAGCGTGGGCAAGACGTTGTATCACCACTTCGGCTCATAGTGGTGCTTGTTGGTTAGAGAATCTCCTGCAGAACTATATTACTTTCATATATAAGTAAAGCTGAGTTGGTTATTGTATTATCTTTGACGAACTAAGTTGTTTACACTGTTTTACAAGTTTTATACATAAATTACATGTTTCTCTACTGCTTTATATTGAGTTAGTATTTCATGAGTTGAGTAGAGCCAAGGTAAGTTCTTCTTAATCCTTTCAATCCTTAAGTTGTTGTTAGCATTCCAACCCGCATACTCGTATATACTAATGCTAGTTGTCTTGCATCGTCTTATGATGCAGACGCAGGCAAGCAGGATCTGCACGCAGCGCCTCGTTGATCTAGTTTGATCATTCAAAATCAGTGGTGAGCCTCCTTGTATTCTGGAGGACACATATTTATTGTTTATGAGTCCTTTAACAGGATGTTGTGGGATCTGTCCCAACATCCATCTTAGTATTAGACAGTCATACACTTTAGTTTGAGTCTCTTATATCTGTATTTTAAATACTTTGTTATGAGATTTAAGTCCCAATTTGGCCAGACTATCATGTTTTAAGTATTTCTATTGAGAATATTTCTTACTTCATAATTGAGTTAAGTTAAGTCCTCCGCTGAGATAAGTAAGCCAGACCAATGGTTTGCCCAAGGCCAGCAATGGTCATGGGGTGTCGGCCACGTTCAAGATGTAGGCTCGGGGCATGACAAATTATGTGATGTTACTTAATAGATAACTTTTTTTTAAAAAAAATTATTAATGTTTTAATATTTAAAACAGATAACAAATATTTATAAAATTATATTTAAAGAGGTGCATGAATTAATTCAGGTTGCTATACTTCTTTACCTTTAATCATAAATTTTGAATTCACTCTGGAAAGAAGAGCGAATTTGATCCTATAGTCGTCTTCTTTGTTCGAAAAATGCACGGTGGAAAGGGATGCTAGTCATCCTATTGAAAGTGTCCTCCTAAATAAATGACTTGATCTAAATTTAATTGGGGCGTCAATTCGGACTCGAATAATTTTAGATGTCATTTTCGGGAATCTTAATTTTGTCGTGTTTTAGTAGTGTTTAGGGCAAGTCAAATATTAGAATTGGTTTATTAATTGGGTGAGGTTTAATTAGTAATGGGTGAGTAATGGGTTGATTTATCAATGATAATAATAAATTAAATTATATCCAATACTTGAGCGCCAAGTATTTAAAAAAATATTTAAATAGTTTAAAATTAAAACCGTTAAATAAGTGATAAACTTTGAACCCAAAGATAGATATGAGAAGGGCATTTAGGAGTCAATAGGTGGATGGAGGGTATTTTAGGCCTTTTCCGTTTTGCTAATTATCAAAAATATGTCTAATAGAAAATTTTTATAAAGTTAAAGTGTTCAGTAGGTAAAAGGTTGACTTTAAGTGTCTATGTGAAATGTATGAACAACATTAAGGGTCTCTAGATGACTTAAGCCGTTTTAACCAAGTATCTCTGACAAATGACTTGTTCCTCGTAGATGGATGGCAAATGACAACAGTACACTATGACAAAAAAAAAATACAGAAGAAATTTCAAAATTGAAGTACCATCATCCTGTAATCAATATCCATCTCCTGGATGCAGCGGCGAAATATCATGTCAGCCATGCCATCACCTTCAACATCAGTAAGATCCTGAAATGGATAGAAGAAGTGACACTTAGCTTCCTTGCACATACATTAACCCATCAATTAGAATTTAGTAGAAGCCAAGTTTGAGAAACATAGAATAGCATTTCGAACCATGCAATTCAGACAATGTGTTGTTGCTTCAATTTTTCACAAGCACTTCATTGACACTCTATCTGAAACAAATTTGGTTTGAAGATAAACACTCTATTGCTTTCGTATTGGATGGTTGAGAGGTGAAAATTGTGTTTAAACAGCAAATTTAAGTAGTTGTAAGACAAAAGATGGTCACAAGTCATAACTGTATATAACAAGAATTGTAATTTCTGAATAACATACTGAAGAAGTGATATCCCCAGGGTTTATAGTAAGTGTAGCCATGTGGCGTCAAAAGAACAAATTGCTGAATAAAACACTGCCTTTATGACCAGCTTCTACTAAGACAGGGAGCTCAATGGACTATGCCGGAAAACAGTTCTAGGTTTGGCAATAGCAACTCGTAGTTTGATTACTTCAAACTGTTAAAGAAATAACCAACTCTTTTGAATCAATGTTGAACTGACTCATGATGGTCCTTCTCGCAGCAACAACATACCTACCGTAAGCCCTACAAGTAGAATTTGGGGAGGGTAGAGTGTACATAGACTAACCCTTACCTCATAGAGATAGAGAGATTTCCGATAAACCCTCAACTTAAATAAAGCATGTCAAATAGTTTGAAAATAAGGGGATACAGATATGGGAGCAATAACAGCAGAGCATTTAGCATTACACAACAAACTGGAGAAAGAACAGTAATAACAATGAAATAATATTGGGCACCGAAAACACCAGCGATAGCCGAAATCGAAGAATAACAAGTTATAAGAATAGTGCTGGTAAGAAGGAAGGTTCAAGTATGACCATCAAGCCTATCCCACGGGGAAGCGAGAGAACGCTCAGCTACTAACTAACCTTCTACCTTAATCCACGACCTCCATGCTCTCCTATCTAAGGTCCTGCTTGCAGATAATTGAAAACGATTTATGTCCCAAAAACTTATATATATATATATATATAATGGTACCTTTAGCGTACACCAGCAAAGTTGTACTTCTCAAACATGGTTTCTACCTGTAATTCAGGTAAATCCGAGTATAAGTTAAGAGTCAATGAAGCAGTACAAAGACTGAATGCATTTTTCAAAAAAGAAAAACATTAACACAAACCATATTTTCACTATTTTGAGATGGATTGAGAGGCGGATTTGTCAGCTGAATTTTGCATTCTGTAGGATCTATCTTCAATAGCGGAACGAAAGGAAAGCTGTATCAGTTAATCATGAACTTTTCATATAATAAGCATTTCAAAAAAAAAAAATCTCAAGAAGTAGCTATAACATCTAGTTTAGCAAGCAACTGTTGAACTAATAAAGTTTCAACCAGGATTTTCTTTCTCTAAGAAGAGCTTCCTAGTTTTCGATAAATGCAAGAGAACACTCACATTTTCATTGTAGGGTAAGAATATAGTGAGAGATGTTCACCTTCAAGTTTTGTTCCATTAGGGACTCTTCATATCGTAGCATTGGCATCCCCACAACACAAAGGGAATACAGATGTGGGAAAATTCTTACACGAAAAGCTACACTTGACATACTGCATTAGTTCATCAAAACATTGAGAATCGACACAATATTTTACTGTTGCAATAGGTAGAATCATTAGTTATGTTTAAGCAAATAGTTTGTACAAAACAGTTTCTTACTTCATAAAACTGAAAAACAGGTTCCACTAGGAAAGGAATAGCATCGTGATTGAGCCGTTACTCATTAGAATGATGGACTTCATGACCAGAATGGAGAAAAAGAATAAGAAAAAAATTCTTGTAATCAGAAGTTATGAATAATACTATCCATTGGGTTTCCCCATTTTTATACATATCAAATATGGATCGCGTCAAATAATTATTTATTTATTTCACCTGATTCATTTTCAACCACTTCATATTCGAGTTGTCACCCCTAATTGCAGCTAATAAGCTAGGACCAATAAAGAGTTGAAGCTCAGCACATGGAGACTAACAAGACGAGTAAAGTTCTCATGTTCTATATAAAGGTACTAGGCATGGAAATGCTATACCTAAAAGGGTTTAAGTTACGCAAACTAAAATAAGAAACTATTATCCCATCAGAGAAACTATTTTAAGCTTGTCGAACTACAACAATTGATTTATATATTTGTGCACCACTAATAACTTGATGCTATCATCGAGCTATTTGTACATCTTTTCAACTACATAGAATCATTCTGTAGCCTCTGTTGATTAGCTAAAAGGGTTCCGGTTTCTCAATGACCAGAGAGCAAAATTGTATCTGGATGGGAAAACCTAACTCTTTTTTACACAAGCTAACAGCCTAGCTACATGGTTATAATTCATTATTTTGGTCAAATAGCTTTAAACCCCAGCTCACATCCTCACAGTGCCTCACATGAGGAACAATTTTGCTCGTGTCAGTTCCCGCTTTCTTTTTACAATCATAGTAAGGTGGGGCATGGAAACATGGCTCCAGTGATACAGCTCGAACACAAGGTGGATTATGGGCTGTTCTGTTCTCAGGCTTGTATAGGATCCAGGGCTTCAAACCTCCAAGACCATGAGCTACATATCCAAAAGTCGACCATGCACTTGTAACCAATTTGTCTGTTAAACTCAGTAGATACATTTCTGCCAACGCCTTCCTTTCATGCCAGAGCTTCTCAGTTTGTTGATGTTCCTCCTGACTCGGCTGGTAAACGCCAACGATCTCTCCTGTCACGGTGGGATGCTCCCAGTACATGTTTCGGAACTCTTCAAAGTATCCAAGGCTTAGAGAAGTGATCAGGACGGCTATGGTTTTCTGCTTCCCGGATGGATTAAGAATAGGCTCCTCCCGATTAATTTGTGGCAGCAGATTCTCATTCATCAAACAAGCGGTAATCTGATCCACTACATACTTAAAAGGACCAACACCTGTATCAAAGACTCGAATTTGAATGCCTAGTTTTTCATCTCCTTGGACTAAATAAGCTTGATAGTACCTCATAACAAGCCCCCATACAGAATTAGTGGGATGGAACAGGTATCTACTCAGGAAGTGGAAAATAGTTTCTTTTTCCGGAAAAAGATTACTTAGCTCTTGCTCGAACGCTGGCATCAAAAAAAGATAAGGCACAAAATAGTTATCTGTCCTCATGACTAGCCAAGGGATTTTGTGTAGAATACTTTGGTCCTGGTCACAGAAAAATAATTTATCTTGATCATCGTAGTCGTGAGCTAAATGAAGGTAGATGAAGGGAGGTAGTATTGAACCAGTTGAATTGCCTATGATATCATGTTTCACCATATAACCATAACAATGAGGAGATTCCTGATTAAACATACTAAACTGGTCGATTATAGGAAAATCTGGTGGAAGCAACCAGGAAACCCCGGGAAAAGGTTCACAGAACAGATCAGGCATATTAACTCCGGGATCAACAAGTAAGACTCGATTTGTAAGCAGAGCATAAAGGAAAGCAGAAGCTAAGGTTAGCATCCTATTTCCTAAACCACTATACGAAATCCAAACCAAGTAACTGCAATCTGCAGAATCTCTGTATTGGCCAGACTTAATAAGTTCAACACTTCTATTGTATAATACTGTATGAGGTCCACATTGCTTATGAAGAGCCTCATAGTTTCGTAACTTTGAGATGAGATAAGAAGAAGGCTTCTGGCGTAATTCTTTATGATATAAGACTGACTCTTGTCTACTTAGACAAGATCTTTCATCAAATCCAGAAGTAAGAAGGCCATCAAGTAGTTTATCTTTCTGCACGGTGATTGACAGATGACTAACATCTTCAGTGGCTGGAAAAGCGAAAAAAAGAAGTAAATCAAATAGAAGAAAAAGCTGATCATATTTTAGGGAAGCCATGATCAGGTAAAACAGACATTTTTCAAAGTGTCCAATCTACAATCAAACTAGAATAGCAAGCAAAACACTATAGAGTTCAACAAAATTACTGAGATGAAACTGATTCTTCAGCAGCAAACCTTGCTACTTAGCTTTAGCTTTATTCTACTGATTTAATCTTCAAAAACAAGCAGCGTCTTTCTAACTTTCATCACTGATCGATATACTAGGCAAATGAGCAAGCACAAAATAAATATCTCGGACCCAATGCCATTACTTCGCATCCATTTCCATCTCCAACACAAGGACATAGGGAGAAACAGAGAATGTACTTGAGCTTTCGCTTCAATAAGTCAGTTATACGCCAATCAACAGTAGGCAATTTGCAACAATGTAATTAAGATAACAATGTGACAAGTAATATTAAGGAAATGACAACCAAAAATACTAAATATTTTGGATTACTAACATTCAACCTAAAAAGGTGACCGATCAGCTCCTAATCCGCTTCAAATACTTACTACTAGTAATAATTCATTCCATTTTTATACCTTGCGTGAATTTCTTTTGTTTAGTTCCATTCCTCCTTTTCAGTTCCAAAACCAAAACTTCTTACTGGCAGTAGTAAAACTCTAGGCCATCAACATTGGAGCCGTGCACAATCCATGTCTATACGCGCTAGTATTTATTGACAGTATATATACATACTATCAACTTCATGCAAATTATTGGTTTCGTTTCTGAACTATTGACAGCCTTAAAAACACCATTTTACATGACTAACTAAACTTAGATACACCCCAATCTGTCATATGATATAGCAAGTGGTACCAAACTCTCGTAAGAGCATGATATTCTTATCACTTAGATGCATCTCGATTTACAAATTGTCTCAAACTCTTATAAAATGTTGTCAATAAGAGTTGCTGAATGAGCACAGTCATCTTCAGCAATGTGTGATGTATGTGTTCTGGTTAGGAAATTAAACAAAAGGGAAAAATCAAGTACCATCAGGATCAGTCAAAAGCCTGAGACGAGTATGAGAGGGTAAGTCTTTGAGTATAATAGAGGCTGCTGTGAATACCATCAAACCAACAATGAAAAATCCGATAAGTTTGACAGGATTCAAACTCCACTTCGACGTGGAAATTGGTTTATCCAAAGACCACACCGCCTGTCGATGATCACTCCAACTTCTTTTCAATCTCTTCATTCTCCTTTCATCAAATGGATCGGAGTAATTAATTCATTAACAACACTAAATCCATCAAAGCTTATATTATACCGTATTAGTATTTAAAATCAATTAGAATAGCCCTTCTGTTATGTCTGCAATTACACTGGAAAAAAGTTTGTTACCGCAGCTATGGGAAGACAAGAAATATTCTCCGATGTCCTATTTCATTCATTTAATATCGAGTTTTTTTCACCTAAATCGATTAATTACTACTCTCTCTGTTTCTATTTATATATGGGAAAATGCATAAATACCTCTCAACTTATGCCTGAAAACTCAGTGACACACTTATACTATACTAAGAACCCATTAACTTATTTTATAAATAATTTTCTATCCCTTTTATGGCATACGCGGCACTAGATTGAAAGAAAAAGTCAACGGCCCACAAGATAATGTCACGTAAACCGAAAAAGAGTAGAAAATTATCAATAAAATAAGTTCAGGGGTTAATAGGACCTTAATTATAGTATAAATGTGTCTCTGAAATTTCGAGCTTAGGTTGAGGGGTATTTGTGCATTATCTCTTGACTTCGATTCTTCGATGGAGGTAGATTATGCATGGTTTATGTTATTCGATAGTAAACTCTTAATAGTGATTTATATGTGTTGAATGATATTGTGAAGTTTTCTATGTACTTGATTGTGTGGTTATGTGACTTGTTTGTGTGTTTTGTGATTAGTCTAAAATCTTGAGACCGTGGAATTTATATTCTTGAACCTTCTTTATCGAAGTGATGCCTTGAATAAAAAGGGCTTGATGAAATATTATCAAGGGAAAAGAGTCTGATATACCCCTCAACTTTGTCATTTGGAGCTAATATATCCCCGTTATAAAAGTGGCTCATATATGCCCTTACCGTTATACAAACGGCTCACATATACCCCTCCCGTTACAAAATGGCTCATATATACCCTTCATTTAACGGAAGTTAAAAAATTAGTTTTAAATTGATATTTATTACTTGTAATTTTTTAAAAAAAATTAGTTAAGGATATATATGATTCTTCTATCAAAGTTCAAGGTATATTTTAATTTTTTTCATATATAAATTATTTTTTGACTTTTTTTATTATAATTATTTGAGTTTCTTATTCTTATGTTTTTCTTTCATTCCTTAGTTTAAAGAGAACAAATTTAAACTATTTTTTTTGTGTGTATTGTAATTTAATTTCATATTCGAAGAAAAGAATTGGTCATCTACAATAAGTTTTACAAGAATATTAGTGAAACATAAATAAATTTGATTATCAAAATAATAATTATAAATTAGTCATTGAAACAAAAAAAAGTCAAAAAAAATATGTTTGACGAGGATTAAATTTACTCATATGGGATTATATTTTTTAGAGAAAAAAAATAAAAATTTAGATTAAAATTATTATTTTTTCCATTTCCGTTAGAGGAAAAGGGTATATGTGTGCCATTTGTTTACAAGTAGGGGTATATATGATCCACTTTCATAACAAGGGGTATATCAGCTCTAAATGACAAAGTTGAGGGGTATATCAGACCCTTTTCCCTATTATCAATGAATTGAAAGTGGTGATAATAAATGATAAATTAATGGTATTATTGGATCAGAGTCATGTTCCGACACAGTATTATTGGATCAGGGTGTCACGTTTCGACACGGTATTATTAGATCGGAGTGTCACGTTCCGACACGATATTCTTGGATCAAAGTGTCACATTCCGATACGGTATTCTAGGATTGAAGTGTCACATTCCGATATGGTATTATTGGATTGGAGTGTAACTTTCCGACACAGAATAATTGTATTGGAGTGTCACGTTTCGACACTAGAGTATTAAAGAAAAAACATATTGAATTAACAAAATGTATTCAATCTCAAAGAACTCAATTTCCCAAATAGTTCAGTTGGAGGCATGAGTCCTCATGAATGATCTTGATATCGTTAACTTATTGCATACTTACTTTAGTGTTGTTGACACTTGTTTATGTTGTTTGTTGCTTACCACCTGTTAAGTGTCGTAGTTGAGTTCATACTATTATTCATCGTATGTAAGTTTCTATTTTGGGTTGACCGATGATACCTACTCAGTACATGTTGCCTCGTACTGAGCCCTACTTGTATTTTTCTTTGTTTTCCTTTCATGGAGTTTAGCAAGTGTACCGTTGAATTCGACTCGACCTCAGCTCTAGCAAGTCTCGGCATATCAGGTCCAAGGGTGAGTTATTAATTCGAGCTTGGATTGGATTCTCTCGGTCATTACTTGCTAGTAATAAATTTCTTTTTTGTTTGATAAATAAAAGTGTCAATACATTCTTTGGGCCTTAATTATTTCTTACTTTAACATTATTGACATCTAAATCAATACAAGAGCACCTTTATGACATATTCCTCATCAGCATTTGAAGAGCTTAGTGAGGGTAAGCAAGCTAAATTTTGATTAACCACTGACATATGCACCATTTTGTTTATTTACAACATATTCTCTACAAAATCACTAGACATTTGTGCCTAGTATTATGTCATCTAGCATTGCAGCATCAACGTACAAAGTAGGGGTGTACGAAACCAAATCGAAAATCGGTGATTAATTCCGAGGGAGTTTCCAAAAGTATGTATCACTGAAACATCCTGCGAGAATTCACATAAAACTGGAAACTAAACGTTATCCAAACCTGTGAAATGTACTCCTTGGAATATATATGCCTACAATTTATCCCAACACATTACATTTTCTACAATTTATCACCACAAACTGTTGTCCTTTTCATTCTTATACATCTTCATGTCCTTTTTACCTTTACTTTAATTTTCTACTTTCCACAATTTGTCTTATTAGTGACATAAGTTTCTTGTCATTTTCCACCATAAAAAAAAAACAAATTGTACAGTTTTGGCATAGTAGTCAAACAAAGAATTTACTGGACTAATAAATGTTGTATAAGCGCTATTGTCCCACATCGGCTATTCAAAAGGAAAAATGGTCCTTTAAAACTAAAAGGATAAGTGCATAGTTCACCTCCAGGGGGTGTGGAGCTGAGATCAATGCACGATTAATGTCCAAACCCTAAACCGCTTCTGTAATCAGAAGAGTTTAGAGTAAGGGGGTGGTTTGCCCGGTGTTTTCCTCCAGTTGTGCCAAACAAAAGAAACACCGATGCCTACGCGTGTGTTAGATCCCGGAGTTGAATACCTCCGGGCAGGTTAGAAGGTAGTGGTGCCCATTGACACGAACGTCTCTGATGCTCACTTTGTTCCTCGCTTGCCAGCACCTCCACTTTTTGACTCTTTTTTTTCCCGATATTTTTCAATTCATATTCGAATATATATTCTAGACAGGTTAGAAGGTAGTGCTCATTGACATGGACGTGTCTGATGCTCACTTTGTTCCTCGCTTGCCATCACCCCCACTTTTTGACTCTTTTTTTTCGATATTATTCAGTTCATATTCAAATACATATTCTTTATTCCTACTTATAACGTCTCTGATGCTCACTTTGTTCCTCGCTTGCCAGCACCCCCACTTTTTGACTCTTTTTTTCGACATTATTCAGTTCATATTCAAATACATATTCTTTATTCCTACTTATAACGTCTCTGATGCTCACTTTGTTCCTCGCTTGCCAGCACCCCCACTTTTTGACTCTTTTTTTTCCCGATATTTTTCAATTCATATTCGAATATATATTCTAGACAGGTTAGAAGGTAGTGCTCATTGACATGGACGTGTCTGATGCTCACTTTGTTCCTCGCTTGCCATCACCCCCACTTTTTGACTCTTTTTTTCGACATTATTCAATTCATATTCAAATACATATTCTTTATTCCTACTTATATGTCATCGTAATTAAGTTATGCATGAACGAACATTTATGTTTAATTATATAGTTTTTCTATGTTGGTCAAATTCATGTTTTTCATAGTCTATTTAACAAATTTATCCCTCATTCATTTTAAATGTTATGGTGCATTTTTTGAAAATTAATTTGACTAATTTATAAACTAGATTATATTAATTCAATATTTTAAGAAAAAAAATAGATATTTAAAAACTATACGAAAGTATTAAATCCAAAACATTTGTTCTCTTTCATTTTCCCCTTGATTTATTTTAATATTTATATAGTTATTACATGCCAAATTCCACTTACATCATCAGCTTAATTTGGTTGAGTCAATGTTAAAAATATGTATTTTAATTTTTATTTAT